ACGTTTAAGTACAAGAATTTTGTTTTCATTATTATCCTTAAAGGTTGTTTTTTTTTTTAAACACTTGAGCACCAACTATTTTCAGAATCAGAACCAGATACTTACAGTATCAGTAGTGAATCATATCAAAAAAATCGGAATCTGAAATTAAAAATATTGAAAATATATCCAAAATTATTAATAACAGACCCAACACAAGTCAAGCAGGAACTTTATCAAGTTCAAAAAATATACGGAAAGCAGAAAAAGTAATAAGAACTCGAAAACACAGAAATGAGAAGATGTGGAACAAAAATGTTATTAAAGAAAAATGAAACAGTACAACAGTTATTCTAAAAAAATTATACAAGCAAAAGCTTTTACTATTTTATGTATTTGCAAAAGGAAGTGTAGTAATCATGCTTCTACAAGGGTACAAGAAAGTATTCACTTTAATTCTAAGACAAAAAAAGACGAAAAAAAAACGCGTCCTTAGAAAACCTTGTGATGAGGAACACACTCGAAGTTACTTTTTCGCTAAGAATAAGGTTTACAAGTCCTAATACACTAATCTACCCAAAAATATAAGGCTTGAAGGAAATGCTGCACTATGTGCCACCCTGTCACCACACCTTAGTATGAGAAACAATGCAGCTGAAAATCAAGAGAAGGATTTGTAAGGGGTTTTCTCGCCACAGAGAAAACGATTCTTTACGAATAACGCTGGTTACGGGCGGTTCTCGAGCGCCAGATTGGTGATGGTTTACTCCACGAATTTTTGAAACGGCGTCGAAAGTACTCGGGTAGCTACAGATGGAGATGAAAAATTCCAGGGGTCAAAGGTCACTTAGACACAGGTAATAGTAGGCCACAAGTAACGGGCTTTAATCGTTGCTTGGGCTGGTACAGAATTAATCACTAGCTGAAATATAAGGGGGAAATAAATTTAGGAATTAACAACCAGTAATACGGCCAGTTATCATTGACACATATATTGTTTTAAAATATTTACAAACGAAAAGGCATAAATTAATGTATTTCAAATGTTGTTCCCCAAAATATATTTTGTGCGTCGGTTCGGCGTGGCTCGGTGGTCCAGGATGGCGTGGCGAAAACGTGACAAGAGCTTAGGTTATGTTTACGGTAATGGAAGTCCCTCGAAGTCAATACCTTCGTGGGATAGATCCACGGGAAAGGAAAACCTGCAAAGTCAATACCTTTGCACGCAAGGGTCGGGACGTTGGGACGTCGGGAAGCCCACAGAGTCAATACCTCTGCAGGAGCAGGAGAGGAGAGTCTTACTAAGTCAGTACATTAGTTCGACTGACGAGAATTAAATTCGGAGCTCTTTATATACTTGTTTCTGCTTGGCAAAAACGGCTTCATGCTGAACCATAGGTGTCTCTAAAACGGTGTTACTGGGAACATCGTTACAATGCTTCCAAATGTAGAGGGCGATGAATGTAAATAACGTCATTGCCAATTATTAATAAAATTATTTTCATATAAAGAACTTTGTATTTAATTTCTTTAACATCATATATTATTTTTTCATTAAAAGCAGAAGTGATTCAAGTTCAAAAAAGTGTCATTTTACTTCTTCGATATTGGACGTGTCAAACAAATCTTCTAGTAAAGACTAACTTAAGTTAATATCTATTATAACGTAAACAATATTCTAATAATATATTAGACTCAATGTTTTTAATCATAATCTTATAGTGTGTGATGGTGTTTATATTAAAAATTAAATCTTAAAAAAATCCCCCAGCAAATTGCAAAATCAAAACTAAAGTATTCATTATTTTCAAAGCGTAAGTCGTAAAATTTTGTTTCTTACGATAAATAAATATGTAAAATTTTGTTTAGAATCAAACTGTAATCTGATTTGTGACGGTTTTATTACCATTTACATGCATACAAAGTACTACACAATTTACTTCATAACCCTAATAGCAGAGTATTGTTACACGAACGTTCCATAAACTTACCCTTGGGACATTAGAAACGTCTCTGTCATGTTTCTTATTCTCCCTCAAACGTACCTAGGATGTTTCTGGCAATGACCATGTCATCATTTGTAACGTATTAGAGACGTTTCTCAGAGACGTTTGTGGAACATCCTGCGATGTTGCTCAAACATCTTAGGTAAGTTTTTTATACTATTGCTGGAACGTTCTAGAAATTACCTAAACGTTTTTTAGTAGGATAATCAAATCTATTGCTTTTTTCATAAATTTATTGGAAAAAAAAATATTTTTTGACACAAAAGATAAAAAATGTTAATTTTACGCTATTTCTTTCCGGAGCGCTCCACAACTAGTCATCTATTTTAATTTCCATTTCTTTTTTGTTTACCAATTTACCGAATCTGAAAATGTTTCAATTAAGTGATAATATAAACAATTGATATTAGGTTAAAATAATTACCCATAATGGCTTCAGCTATTTTTAACTTAGCGTCTTCTTTTTTTCCAGAGAATGAAAACTTACACAACTCGTTTCTTGAGGGGAACTATGCACCGTCTAATAAATTCATACACATTGGTACCTTGGTTTTCAAAATACAATACCTAAAATAGTTATTTTTAAAGTTAACAAAGAAATAATGACTAGAATGTATAAAAGCCACATTTTGTTAAAGGAAATTAAGTTACCTTCTTCATTTTGGTTTGAATATCTCGCCCGTAAAACGATTGCTTTTGCATTGGACATGCCTGATTAAACCTTGAGTTGGAAGTGATTTTTCATGTAGCTTTACGTACAAACTATACACGTCAACCTAGCCGCCTATTATCACTTTTAGTTTGTTTAAAAGTTTATAGAGAAGTTGTTTATTACTTTTAACCTTTTCCATACTTTATCATAAGCGAGGCGAAGCACCTTTTTATTGTCAACTGTCAACACTAATGAACTATCTGTCATATGTCAATATTGTCATTTGACGGTTGACGTGTTCGGTTAATACTCCGCGAACAAATCAAATATGAAGTTTATTCCTTTCCATCGAAAATATCGTTCCATCCATACAATTTGTGTAAATGGAACGATATTTTCATAAGTACTGCAGCTCAGTGCTACACTTTCAATGCAAAAAATAGATTCCATCACGAGGACTTCCTTTAATAGTGTATTTTTTTAGCTCGCGGAGGATTAACCGAACTCTCCTGCTGAGCCATAAGGAAGGGTATATTCATTTCTTTCGTATTTGCTTCGCACTCTGTTTTGAAGGAACTATTAAAGATAAATTGGACCTGTAGCAGTTGTCTTGTGAAATTAAAATATTGTTAAAAATGTTCAAATTTAATATTGGAGTTAGATATGATTGTAAATTTCTGGTGATTGCAGTAATTTTATAATTTATTGATATTTCAAAATAATTTAAACGAAAATAGAATACCTAAAACATAATTACGATGTTTCTAAAACATTCTTAAAAAATCATTTTAGAAACGTTTCTTTAGAGGACATCGTAGGGTACGTAGCATTTATGTCAGAAATATAGAAACATACATGGAACCTAAATGGGATGTTTCTGGCAGATCGGTGTTATTAGGGAATATAAGAATAAGGATAGTAAGATTTTTAAAAATAAGTTCATCAATAATAAATGTTTGGTTCCTGAAATGTCCTTTAAACCACATAATTAAAACATGTCCTGGGTTTAGTAAATACATATTTCTAGATGTTCTTGTAGCAATCAAAAGGTGAATATTTCCAACAAATTAAGTCATACACATGATAAATATTATATCTATGACGAAAGCACGAAAATTAAACTTAAATTAACACTAAATGAAACTCAAAAACACTATTATAATGAGAATATTATCTAAAAAAGTTAAAAATCATAAACAAAAAATCCCGCCCAAAACAAACACATATAAATAAACAAACATCCTACTTATAGGTGGCAAATGACAGGCGCGCAAAAATTAATTTTAATCGCGAATATTGGACTTTCTTGCTAAAACCAATTTGGATCTAGATGATTTGGCGGCTGTGGGTTTGCGATGTCACTATTGTTAATACTGGTAATAAAAATAGTGTTATTAGGTATATTGAGACCGAATTGAAGCTTCCGTAACAATGGAATATTTGCCAATTACACGCCAACAAATTGCCATTAAGACGTTTATTTCAACATTTAGATGACAGCACATTGGGACCCTCGTCAATATTCTGGTGAAATCGGGAAGTCTTTAGAAAAATGAGAAAGTCTTAAAATTGTAAATTTTACCCCAATAAAATGTGAGTTGCCAAATATAACTGTAATGTCTAGAAATTTAAGTTTTAATCAATCATATTTATATGACATTTGCAATGCAATATCAAGCGGCAATTTCTCATCAAATTTAGCACACTGTAATCCTGGAAAATTAGCGCACAATGGCAAATCGTGTTCATCGGCTCTATGCTCTAACGGAAAAGCCAACATCAAGCCTAACATATATTACCGAATTCATAATTAAAATGTATGCCCCAATGTGGTTTGATATTAAACTAAATTTCACATCCACTAGTGATAGTTTGCATGTATTTAATACGATTGATCTGTCACGGTATTTAAGAGATGATTTAAAAAGTATTATGGATACGGTTATCCAAACAAACGCGTATTTATATACCCCGAAAATATTATTTTATGTATGCTTACAGATAATCGTGAATGGGTTCGAGAACTAACTCTACGAAGAATCTTAAAAGCTAGAGAAACCGAAAAGTAAGCACAGCAAAACGCAAGGTTTGATAGGTATTGTAAACTTACTTTTTATATTTTTAAGAAATATGCCCATTTCGGCCCAGCCTAATGTACAGGGTGGGGCATATTGGAGGGGAGTTTTTAGATCGGCTAGTAAACGCGAACGGGTGGAGGTAGAGAGCCGCGGTTGACATAGCTGGATTCAGGAAAGCTTTCCATTTGTTATTCACAATGGTTATCTGGACAAGAGAGCATCGCGTGTTCGCAGTTGAAAAATATTTAAAATCGGGCGAGTCCGTTATTGTTGCGGAGCGATAACGCTTCAATATCGGTCGCAATGGTTTAGTTCCTACCATGAAAGTATAGGGGTGAAAGTCAAGGTCTTGGTGTAAAATCTTGCGAAGTGTTCGATTACTCATTCAAACTGCTGCAGCCCGTTTTCGGACAGAACGCTGCGGACTTTAAGTTACTGCTTGTCTCACCTTTTCTACGGAAGCTGGTGTCCTTACACTTCGGGGATGACTTTTAGGTCTTGGATTAATTGCTGATGCCGTCGTTTTAAAATTCTGTACCCACCTGTTGATTGTGTCACGTTTAGGAACTAAACCGTTACGAAGCGTTATCGCTGCACAACAATAACGGACTCGCCCAATTTTAAATACTCCTCAACTGCGAACACGCGATGCTCTCTTGTCCAGATAACCATTGCGAATAACAAACGGTAAGCTTTTCTAAATCCAACAATGTCAACCGCGGCTCTCTACCCCCACCCGTTCGCGTTTACTAGCCGATCTAAAAACGCCCCTCCATTATGCCCCACCCTGTACATATTCATAAAAATATGCTAAACCGTTGTAGACTATGAGCACAACTTTAACTTAATATGTTTTACTATCCATTTTTTATATAAACAAGTTATGTTGAATAGATTTATATTCGATCCCAAAAACTGTGACTAAATTTTTTGTACATCTTTTTGTTACACCCTGTAGAAACTTGTTCTTTTTATACCTAACAACTTACTTATTATTTATTTATTGATTAGTCGTAGATAATATATATTTAAACCTCGAAATAATGGTTACGTCATAGCGGTGTTCTTATTGGAATCGGGCTCTACATCACGCACACAGGATGATAGTTTAAACATCGATCCGAACGACGTTGAAGAAAAAAATAATTCACTTTAGCCTTCCAGGAAAAAAAGGACTATTAAATTAAGTTGGCGATCTTCATAGGGGAAATCATGTTAAAAAACGAAATTTTTGTCATAAATGCGCTGGTAACTTGTTAAATAGTCAAGGTATTGTTAAGGAAAATGTTAAACATCAAAATTGTAGAGCATTTACTTCTCTCTAACTATTATTTCAGTAATTTTTTTGTTTGTTAAAATGTTTTTACCTGTGGTAAACGAATTTTTTTTTTCATTTAATGCCTTTAAAATCAATAAGGGTTATATGGACAAAACTATTTAAGAGAAAAAGTTGATCAGACTTTGTTCCTCTAAACTAAAACTAAAACTTTTATCGAAATCATTTTGCTCTAAAAAAAAATAAAGCATGCGAATTTTTTGTCATATAATGGCTGTAACTCGTTCAAAACACAAAAAAATTGTAAAAAAAAATTTAAATTTGATCTTCTACAACTTTTATTAAGGCTATGTTGCTAAATAAAAAATGATTAGGAAACCACCCCTATAGAGCAGTTCGTACTAGGAGTTCGAATGTGATCTTTTGGTTGGATACTCAGGAAACGGTCCCGAAAAATCATCCTGTTTGAAATTTTTTGCGACCTCTATAAGCCGAATACATCTTTTTGGATTAACACTATCATACCGTCTAATTTCTACTCCCCTGTCAGTTTTTATTTAAACCCCTAATTCGTATTTAAATTATTTTCCTCATCATTTAAGAACTTTATAGTTTAAAGACCACTTGATTTTTTCAGGACTGATGATGGCCCAATTTAGCCGAAACATTTCAATAAAAAAAATGGTCTTGGCCTTTGGATTTTACTGTATTTATAAAAAACTATTACATAAATTTTAAATGCTGGTTCTAAACAATATAAAATTTAAAAATAATTACTTACTTTTGACGTTTTATGTTACACCACTAGTATTCAAAGAAAATATGGGATCTAAGCAACGTACTTAACGACTGATTGTACGAAGAGACCTCTGACTTTCAGATTAAACTAACCTTTATAACCTTTCTTATCGACACGAAAATAATTCAATTTCATTTAGGTAAAAACTATTTTCTCAATGGAAAACTTTTACATACACAAATACATTCGAAAATTGTGAAAAATTCACTTAATAGTCTAATACTTAATAATAAGACCAGTTCTCTAAAGGGTGGGTCACTTAAAAGTTTTAAGTCCCTTATCTTGGTTATTGATTAAGATATCAGAATCAACTTTTTTTTTGTTGAAAGTTTGTGACACGTATTTTTTTACAATGAATTTAATTATTCTGCGACGTTATGACTTACTTCCAATTTTTCCGGAAATAATAGTAAATCGCAATTATGTTTTTATTGGAATCCCCAATTTTTATTTACAATTTTAATTTTTCCGACTTTTTTGGGTATTAGTTGTATACAGGCCTGTTAGTATTTATCATTAAAAGTTTATGATTATTTATGATAGTTGTTGTTAAAACAAATGAGTGATGTTACAATAACAAATTATAGAGGTAATTTTAAGAAACCCTCTTCAAAATCGTGCAGATGGTGTTACAAATTAAGTGCTAATTTTCTTATAGATTCTATCACCAAATTAATATGGGACCACCTCAGGGGTACCCCCTTGCTAACAAAAAAGAATCGTAGAAATCGGCTAAGATGGTAAAACATTATCGCCGAACAAACATAAAAAAATGAAGAGTTTGATGATTTTCTCATAGACCCAATTATTAGATCTTGACTCAATGTATATGGAACCACACTTGAAGTACCTCCTTTCTAAAAAAAAGCATCTTAGAAATCGGATATGGTGGTAAAGAATTATCGTTGAACATACATTAAAAAATTAAAAGTTTCATGGGTTTCTCATTAACCCAATTATTAGATCTTGACTAAATGTATATGGAACTTGAAGTACCCCCTTTCTAACAAACAAGATTCTTAGAAATCGGATATGGTGGTAAAAAATTATCGCTAAACAAACATAAAAAAAATGAAGAGTTTGATGATTTTCTCTTGGACCCAATTATTAGATCTTGAATAAATTAATATGGGACCACCCCTGTAGTACCCCCTTTCTAATAAAAAAAAAAAAGAATCTCAGAAATCGGATGAGATGGTAAAGAATTATTGCTGAACATTAATACAAAATGAAGAATTTGATGATTTTCTTATAGACCCAATTATATATTTTATTGACTTTTCTATTGGATATTGTAGTTTACCTAAGTATTTACTTAATGGTCTAAGATCCCAAGTAAGGTCGACCTTCACAAATCTGTTTAATGGATGAAAGTTTCTTTTTATTAAATAAAATATGTTTAATAATAACCGCAAATGGGTTGCCTAAGAAAATACAGTCCACACTATTTATTTTTTTAAAGTAAAAAAAGTATTCCCCAGATGATTCGACTATGCCCAAACTTTAATCTGCTCATCGCAGGATGGATTAAAGCTTAAGTTTAAAATTTGGTGTTTTTTCTTGATCCGTTTTTGAGTTATCTTCAAAATTCGAAATTTGCACTTTTCCTCAAATATCTCGAATTAGGTCTATTTTAGGGATATCATTTAATATTTAAAAAACATTAAAAATTAAAATTTTATGTCCAAATAACTTTTTGGATAGTGACGTAAAATTTAAGAGGGATGCGGTATTACATACCAATGCTGTACGCCACTGGAAAAGAATTCTTAAACAGTATATATTGTTACGCAGCACCCTGCAGTAGCCTGTGGATATTATAGAAAACGTACAGATAGAAAAAGAAGTGGAATGTTACTCATCACCCTACAGAAGATAGAATAGTTCCAGAAATGTCTGGAAATGTTATTATCCTTCAAGAATATTCTAAATGACAGTTCGAGAAGGTTCGAGAAGGATCAAGCAAGCTATATAAGGATGATCCTGACGTCAGTTTTCAGTTTTATGATAGACGTTACTTGCTAATGTTATCAGTTGTATAATTGTTGTTAAAGTTGAGTTGAAATAAATTGTGATACCAGAAACCAGAAACCAGAGTAACATTTGTGACAGCGGTGGGATACAAAGTAGAAGTTCATGGTAAACACTAGATCCACGGAGTACGAAGCAGGCATGAATACTTCAGGCCCACCAGCATGGTTTTTGAAGATGGAAGAGGAAAAAGGAAGGCGTAGGAAGGGAGAAGAGGAGGAAAAGAAAAGGCGTAAAAAGGAAGAAGAGGACGAAAAGAAAAGGAGTAAAAAGGAAGAAGAGGAGGAAAAGGAAAAACATAGGAAGGAAGAAGATGAGGAAAAGAAAAGGCGTAGGAAGGAAGAAGAGGAGGAAAAGGAAAGGCGTAGAAAGGAAGAAGAGGAGGAAAAGGAAAGTCGTAGGAAGGAAAAGGAAAAGGAGGAAAGGCGTAGGAAAGCAGAGGTAGAAATTATAAAGGGTTTGCTACAAATCCAGGAAACCTTTAAGCAAGAGGTTAGTCAGCTTAAAATTAAAGTATATCTGTTAGAGCAACAACAAGGGCATCTAAAACCTAATTTAGAGAAACATCAAGATAATTTGAAAGATAACTTAGAACAACAAGAACAGGCTAGAGTAGAGCTGAAAAGGCAAATTAGAGCTAAAAAGGGTGAGTTAGAAAAAAGAATTCACAGCCAAGCTTCAGTAAACAGCATTGAAGCTGCAAATACTACTACCTCGTCTTCATTTATTACCGAACCAAGCCACATTCTAATCCCAGTTTCATACTAGCAAGACCCTTAAGCCACTCACGTTTGACGATCAGACAACATGGGAATCATATCGGCTCCAATTTAAAGCTGCAGCTGGAGCCGATGGCTGGACCGAGAAAGAGATGGCGGCTTTATTGATAGTGTCACTGCGAGGCCAGGCTGCAACCGTTATATAGTTACTTCCTCAAGAGGAACTCATTTATTCATCTCTCGTCCAAACTTTGGAGACAAGATATGGCCAGCAGCATTTGCAACGGGTATTCCAAAGCCAGCTAAAGGTTTGTAGTCAAAAACATAATGAGAGTCTACAGGAATTCGAGGCTGATATAAGAAGACTGATTCAGCTGGCCTATCCATAGGTGCCGAAAGATTTCCAAGAACAACTCGGAATACAAGCATTCATTGATGAACTATAAGATGTAGAAATGCAGCATGTCCTTCGTCTAAAACATCAGAAGACGCTGAGGGAAAAACTGATTGCATCCCAGAAATATGAAGCGGTAAAACTCCTATCCAGATCTTCTCGAGCAAAAGTGAGGAAAAATAAATCCCAATACTAATGCTATTCTCCAAATCTTAAATATCCTACGAAATATGCAAAGAAACAGCCAACATGGAAGCAGGAGATGCTTCAATTGTGGAAAAGTCGGACACGTTTAAAGAACCTGTATATAGATCAATCTTTTCAAGCCCATCACTAAGACCAACAAGAATTAATTACAGCAGCTATGCGTCCCGAAGAAGCCAATCACCCACAACGAGCCGGCTTTCTAACAATAACCAGAAAGTAGAGCATCGAGGTCTCCATAGCAACGCAGGCATTCTCTTCGGGCAACCCCGTTTAGAGAAACAATGCTGGTATAGTAAAAGGCTCGAAGAACTAGAAGAACTGGTTAATAAAGTTACTCTTTGGGCCACCACCATCAAGCCAGAGGGCGACGAAGAAGAAATCATCCTTGAAAGTCTGAGGCAAGGACAGAAGAGACAATGACTTAAAGGTTGTCCGAGAATGGCTCAAAAATAAAGTAACACCTACTTGGCTAGAGATAGCCAAATACAGTAGAACTATAAAAAGCTACTGAACCCAGTGGGATTCCCTGTATCTTCACGATGGCCTATTGCACTGGAAGTGGGAGAGCCCCGATGGAGTATATGTAGTCCGCCAAGTGATACTGCCGAGGTCACAGGTGAGAAACGTATTGGAGGAGCTTCATAGCAGCCGTTCAGGAGGACACTTTGATACTAAAAGGACACTGGCAGGAGTTCGGGAAAGACTTTATTGGGTCAATTGTCGACGGGATGTAGCGAATTGGTGTAAAAAATGTGATGTATGCTATGGCAGGACAAAGGACTATGGGTTCGCTCGGGAACGACTGAAAGCCCACACCGATAAAGCAGAAACTAGAATCGATTTTCAGAGGGGCGACAAGGTATGGCTGTGCAATCCCAAACAGCGAGGAGGACTTCGTCAGAAATCGCAACGGAACTGGGAAGGCTCCTACTCCGTCCTTAAGGAAAATCAACAACCTGATCTGCCGGATTCAACTGTCAGCGGAAAGTAAATTCAACGTAGTTCACATTGGGAAGATAGCTCCATTCCATGGACCAGATCCTCTCCATTAGTTCCAACTAGGTCCCAGTAATCAAGTTATTCGGGGCGAATAACGAGAGAGGAGGGAGCAATGTTACGCAGCACCCTGCAGTAGCCTGCGGCTATTATAGGAAACGTACAGATAGAAAAAGAAGTGGAATGTTACTCATCGCCCTACAGTGTGCTGCGGTCGTCATAGGTAAAAGTAGAAGTTACAAAAGATAGAATAGTTCCAGAAATGTCTGGAAATGGCATTACCCATCAAGAATATTCTAGATGACAGTTCGAGAAGGTTCAAGAAGGGTCAAGCAAGCTACATAAGGATGATCCTGACGTCAGTTTTCAGTTTTAAGATAGACGTTACTTGTTTATGTTATCAGTTGTATAATTGTTGTTAAAGTTGAGTTGAAATAAATTGTGATATTAAAAACCAGCGTAACAATATTTAATGGCAAGTGGCCTGTGACTTGTTTATTTGGGCGGGACACATGTGAGGTCTCGGTGAGAAATATAATTTTTCATTCCCTAATTTAGGTAATGGTATCACTATTTTATTTGAGGATAAAATAAATAAGTTAAATATAATTTGAGTTTTATTTCATTCACAAAATTATACCAAACTTTGCATCAAATCCTGATTTATCTAAATTAACATTTTCACAATGTGGGTATTTACATTATTAAATAATTAACTAGACGATCACTACTACTAGAGGAAAAAGGTATGAATTACTTTAAATTTCATAAAAGGGGAGGGAGGGAGGTAGTTAAAAAATACGGGTTTTTAAATAATTAAAAAGCGACCGTGGGTGGGCAATTTTAACACCGTATTTCGGAAACGAGAAACATTATATCTAAGCATGCTTCGTTTAGTTGTCTTA